GTCATCCATTTCCAGACAAAAAGAGGCAAGGGACACCGTCCCTACCCATCCTGGCTAATAGCTATTGATGGACCTAACATCCATAAATCTATCTAGCTGTTTTTTGAATCTATCTATCGATCTATCCCCATCCACCTCATCTATCTATCTATCGATCTATTGATCGATCTATCTATCTACATACACCCCCTCTATCTATCTATCGCCATCCACCTTATCTATCTATCTATCTATCTATCTATCTATCTATCTATCTATCTATCTATCTATCTATCTATCTATCTATCTATCTATCTATCTATCTATCTATCTATCTATCTATCTATCTATCTATCTATCTATCTATCTATCTATCTATCTATCTATCTATCTATCTATCTATCTATCTATCTATCTATCTATCTATCTATCTATCTATCTATCTATCTATCTATCTATCTATCTATCTATCTATCTATCTATCTATCTATCTATCTATCTATCTATCTATCTATCTATCTATCTATCTATCTATCTATCTATCTATCTATCTATCTATCTATCTATCTATCTATCTATCTATCTATCTATCTATCTATCTATCTATCTATCTATCTATCTATCTATCTATCTATCTATCTATCTATCTATCTATCTATCTATCTATCTATCTATCTATCTATCTATCTATCTATCTATCTATCTATCTATCTATCTATCTATCTATCTATCTATCTATCTATCTATCTATCTATCTATCTATCTATCTATCTATCTATCTATCTATCTATCTATCTATCTATCTATCTATCTATCTATCTATCTATCTATCTATCTATCTATCTATCTATCTATCTATCTATCTATCTATCTATCTATCTATCTATCTATCTATCTATCTATCTATCTATCTATCTATCTATCTATCTATCTATCTATCTATCTATCTATCTATCTATCTATCTATCTATCTATCTATCTATCTATCTATCTATCTATCTATCTATCTATCTATCTATCTATCTATCTATCTATCTATCTATCTACCCCCCCCCCCACACACGCATACACACACACACACACACACACAGACACCTCACACCCACACACACACACACACACACACACACAGACACCTCACACCCACACCCACACACACACACACACACACAGACACCTCACACCCACACACCCCCACACCCACACACCCACCCACATACCACACACGCATGCACACGCAGAGATCACACCCACAAGCACACACACATTCACATACACACCCAGACCCCACACACATACCACATACCCACCCACTCACACATGCACACACATACACACACACAGACACCGCACACACAGACACTCACCCACCCCCCCACGCACAGACACACACACAGAGACACCACAGGCTCATGCACACACATAGACACCACAAGTACATACGCACACACACATATCACAGACACAAACCCACATACTCACACACACACATGCACACACACACTCACATACACACCCAGACACCACACACACACCACATACCCACACTCACCCACCCACTCTCACACACACACACACACAAACACACACTCACCAACCCACCCACCCACAGAGACACCACAGGCCCACGCACACCCTCACACACCACAAGTACACACTCACGCACACATATTACACACACACACCCACATACACACACACACACACACACACACGCAGAGTCTCCAGTTGCGTACGATGCTCTTTCCTTCCCACCTGAATCATCCCTTTCACCGTGTGCCCTGACCTTACCCCAGGCGGGGGCAGTAATTGTAGAGGAGGGGATACGCCGAGATTCTGGAGCGTGGTCGATGTCGACCAATGGGATTGGGCTGGGGGCGGGAGCAGGGAATGAAACACCAGCCCCCTCCCCTGGACTCACCAAAGCCACTTTCTGACTGGTAGTGGGGGAAGGGAAGGGCGCGAGCTAGGCTGGAAGTCTGTCCGGGCCCCTGCTATGTCTGCAGGCCTGATCCAGTGACTGTGAGGGCCGGATCCATCCTCCGGGGCATATTTTGCCCAGCTCTACATTCCACTGTGCCACCCACGTGCTGCCCTGACAGGTCTCTTGCTCTGTCCCATGGCGATAACATTTCGGCTGTGTCCATGTTCCCTCTGTGTGGGGCCCCGGCTCTGCACAGACACCATGGCCACAGCTTAAATAAGGTGGGACGGCTCAGGGCCATATTTCCTATGGATCCAGAGAGGCACCCTATAGAAAGGCACCGAGCATGTGAACAAGGGTCACCAAGTGAAATGAACAGGTAGCAAGTTTAAAACAAACAAAGGAAGTTTTTTAACTTGTGGAACTCCTTGCCGGAGGATGTTGTGAAGACCGGAACTTTAATGGCCACAGCTTAAATAAGGTGGGACGGCTCAGGGCCATATTTCCTATGGATCCAGAGAGGCACCCTATAGAAAGGCACCGAGCATGTGAACAAGGGTCACCAAGTGAAATGAACAGGTAGCAAGTTTAAAACAAACAAAGGAAGTTTTTTAACTTGTGGAACTCCTTGCCGGAGGATGTTGTGAAGACCGGAACTTTAACAGGGTTCAAAAAAAGGAACTAAATAAATGTATGGAGGTAGGAATGGTGTCCCTCGCCTCTGTTTGCCAGAAGCAGGGAATGGACATAAGGAGAGGAATCCCATGAGAATTTCCTCGTCTCTTCACTCCCTCTGGGGCACCTGGTCTTGGTCGTTGTCGGCAGAGAGGACACTGCGTTGGATGGACCATTGGTCTGACCCAGTCTGGCTGTTCTGATGTTCTTATATGTTCCCCTGACAATGGACGGGATTTTCCGTTGTGCTCCGGTGACCCCTCAAAGGTCCATCTTTGCTCCCAGAAACACACGCGGTCCCCATCGCACGTGGGGAACCTGCCTGCCTCACATTGTCTTGTACATGCGACTTGGCTGAAAACAGCCCTGCCCCCACCTTATGGCCACCGTGCCCCTAACCTGAGCATGGGTCAGTCCGTCGCTGTCTATGGGTCGGGTGCTGTTGGCGGGGGGCTCTGGGACCAGCCTGGAGTGTGTTTACCGACGGGTGCCCGGTACCTCTGGGGCGTGTCGCTGTCGCCTCCGCCCTCGGCCTGCCGCCTTCTGTGAGCCGGGCCTGCCTTTTGCTCTCACAGAATCCCAGGCCTGGCAGAGACCTCAGGAGGCATCGAGTCCAACCCCCTGCCCAAAACAGGACCAATCCCGACTCAACCATCTCAGCAGGGCTTGGTTCAGCCAGGAATTAAACCTCTAGGGATGGAGATTCCACCCCCTCCCTAGGGAACCCATTCCAGCGCTTCCCCACCCATCTAGGGCAAGAGTGTTTCCTATTTCCACCCCCTCCCTAGGGAACCCATTCCAGCGCTTCCCCACCCATCTAGGGCAAGAGTGTTTTCTACTGTCCAACCTAGACCTCCCCCACTGCAACCTGAGACCGTTGCTCCTCGTTCTGCCACCTCACCCCACTGAGAACAGCCTCTCGCCAGCCTCTGGGGAACCCCCCTTCAGGGAGTTGCAGGCTGCTCTCAAATCCCCCCTCACTCTTCTCTTCTGCAGACTAAACAAACCCAAATCCCTCAGCCGCTCCTAGTAGGTCATGTGTCCAGCCCCCGAATCGTTTTGGTCGCCCTCTGCTGGACCCTCTGGGTACGTCTAAACTACTTGCCTCCATCGACGGAGGCATGTAGATTAGCCAGATCGGCAGAGGGAAATGAAGCCGCGATTAAAATAATCGCGGCTTCATTTAAATTTAAATGGCTGCCGCGCTCTGCCGATCAGCTGGTTGTCGGCAGATCGGGGCAGTCTGGACGCGACGCGCCGACAAAGAAGCCTTTCTTGATCGGCACAGGTATGCCTCGTGAAA